ATAAGTTGGGTTGATATGAGTCTGTGACCCTGGGATTCAGGCTATTTGCAATCGTCAGCTGTCTGATGATCGCAAATAGCGTGAAACCCAGGGTCCTAAAATCACATCAATCCAACTAAGTATGTTAGCTCTGTCATTGATATTGAGCGCTTTCCAATAAGTACTGCACATATATGATATATATAAAAAAATTGCATATATATATATATATATATATATATATATATATATATATATATATATATATATATATGTGTGTGTGTGTTAAAAATTGCTACACCATTAGAATTGTTTCAACTGTATATATGTGTCTCCTCAGGTGATGATAAACTTCTGGTGAGTGAATGATTATTTTAATTACAAAATTTCTCATATATATATATATATATATATATATATATATATATATATATATGAGAGCATAGGCTTCCAATGAAGGTGCTGTATGGACAACTACCAAATTCCAAGCATTCAGTTGAACATCCAATCTTACGCTATAAAGACAAATTGAAAGACAACTTGAAACATCTCAACTTTGATCTGAAAACCTGGGAAGCCCAAGCATCAAACAAAAAGGGGTGGCATAAGACATGTTTCATTAAGTTAAAGGGTTTTGAAGACAGTCGACTAAAGCACTGTGATCAGCTTCATCAAGCTCTGCAGCAGAGACATCATCAAAATCCTGCTTTAACAAATTTCATCTGTCAGTGTGGCTTTGTTGCCTGTAGCAAGACTGGGCTAGTATCACACTTAAGCACATATGAAATATGTCGTTCCCTTACCTGATTTTCTCCACAATAGTCCTTGCTAATATGCATAAGTGTAAAACAAAAGGCACCAGCCAATGCTGACCCGCATTTATCATTCACAATAGGAGAGTCCACTATATATATATATATATATATATATATATATATATATAATGCGCACATCTTACACTAGACTTCGGAATAAAAATTTTGTGGTCAAATGGACTACGTATTTACTATTATCATAATTCCAGTTTAAATGATGGATAAAACTTTACTGAACTTCTCCATAAACCTAGATTAGAACTAACTTGTGTGTTCTAATGTATTTTTCTCATAAAGAATTTTATTTACTTTACTCTTTCTTCTACAGGCTCAATATAAAATTCAGGGAAAGAACAGCCTTAAAAATTCTTAAATATTTACCTCTTCAGATGCTGATCAGATCTGCTAGATTGATTTCAGGCTTTATTAAATATTATTTTCTATTCGCTACCTTTTTGTTACAAAGTATTGATTTTTGACTTTGATCTAATTTCTTATCTCAGGGTTGCATGCATTATTAAAAAAGTCTGTTTTATATTTTCCTGAAATCTATTCCTTCAAATAAGTCCAGTTGGAATTGGTATTTTTGTGATGGTGCTCTTTTTTACCAATATTTCTTTTTTTCTTGTCTTTATTTCAAAGGAGAATTTCACTTCTCTTGCTTGCTCTCAGTTATTTTCTGAGTGTTTTTCAGGTGACATGTCTTATTTTCTTGGGTGTATTTAAAGAACGTGGAAAACTGTCATCTATTTTAGAAAATAGTCACCAAACTTTGCTTTAATTAGAATTGCTAGTTAAATGTTAAATTTTTAGATTAACAATAACAATTCACTGAAGATTTTTAATTTTTTTTAAATCTAGCAGAAATTAATATCAAGCCAAGCTGTCAGTTTTGCTAAAAACAATCTTTCTTTGGTATGTTCTAAGCCTTTGTCATCTTGGAAGAATCTATTTATACATTTGTTAAGTTTTCTTCCCTGCTACCCATGAGTGTCTAGCATTTCCAAATTAATCTTCTGGCTTCCCTCCAGAGATATGATCTCTACCATTCTTTTTAGTTACTTACCAGTATAAGCTGTGATGGTAGAAGTTCTCTTTCATTACATTTACTACCACCACCATCAGCAGCAGTTATGAGTTATAGCATTTCTTTCGTGACATGATATGACACAAACCTGCATTCTTGCATTTTCGAGCACAGTTTGATTTTTTTGCCCTGTTCTGTTGCCCTCAAACCTTTTTAAGACTTCATATGCCAGGTAAGAAAAAGATTTAATTTACTTTTGATCATTCAAAAATCTGTTTTCTAATATGTTACTGGTTTTTCTTTTGTTTTCTTTTGTTGTTTTTTTTTTTCTTACCTTCCCTGTTGGTCTGTTTGTAATACATTCCAAAGTGTGTAATTCTTCTGTTAACCATGGAAAATATTCTTAAAGCATCATTAGTAAGTTGTTGGCAAATTTATGTACCTTTGCTAACATGAAAACTTTTCTCAAGAAGTTTTTATACTTTTGAACTTTATATATTTTTTTTTTTCATCACAATAGTTTTTCCTAATTTTTGCTATGCATTTTTCACATTTAAGGTGGAGAATAGAAAAAAAAAATTGATTTTAATTTCTTTCTCAAATATCTTATAAGAAACTGCCTCGATTATAATGTTTTATGACCTGAATACCTGTCTCTAGTGTGTACTTGAAGAAAAATATTATTTTACTGTTGCTAAATTATTGGTGTTATGAATTCACTGCCATATGATTGCATAAGCTTATTGCATCTTGGATATATGAGGTGCTGAAAATTCTCTACCTGACCCACTTTCCAGAATCTTACCCAATGACTAAAAATCAGAATTTATTAGTTTCTTCATTTTTAATAAAAAAAAAAAATTATATAGCTTTTTGGTGAGTCAGGAACTTTTCTGCATTCTCCTTGTAAAGCTATCTGTTATTACTTAAAATAAAACATTGCCATTACTTCTAAAACATCCTCTTTTCACTGATAACAATTCATCAGACAAGGAAAAATATAAATCATTGAAGCAGATTTATTTCAATTAACATTATAAATATTTTTCTTTTAACATTTCTGTGTGTGAAGTAATGAAAAGTTAAAATCAGTGAATATAAAACTGAAATTTTGTGCAAAAAGTAATTTAATCTCATTTAACTGTCAATACTTAGTGATAAATTAAACTAAGTATCTGTATTTTTCCTTTTGGTTTACTTAGAATAAAATTATACTAATCCAGTCAATCATCATCATTCTGTGAATATTAATGTTAACAAAAGGAAAAGAAAGACTGTCAAATTACTAACAGGAAGTTTTTATTGGTACTTAGTGGAAATCTTTACTAGAGTGTTGAGTTACTGGAAATTTTTTTTATGAATTTATTTCCTGCATCAACTGGAAAATGAAAATTATAAGCAGTATTCAAAGGCAATGTAGGATTGCCACCTTCAAGTTTGTAAATTTCTATACAAAATTTACAGACTGCAGAGAAAATTGGTTTTCAGTTTGAGCAATGGACCATTCTTTCAAAAGGTCAGTCAAGTAATTATGAAATTTTATTGTTTGTCTGTTAATTGCTTTATTATTTACATGCTAATTTGGTATTACTCAGGACAAAATCTTGTTCAGTTTACTGCACAACTTCAAATGTGTAGCACATGTGTTTATGTGACTGAAACAATTTTCATCCAGGAAGGCTACACTGCTGTGTTTTGGATTCCTGGGAGGATTATGGGTATAAAATGAATTTCTTTCTACTGAGTGAGGGACGAACTTCTCATAATAAACTGTCTAGAGTTGATAAAAATCAAAATACTTCATTTTGAAAGATGAGTGATTCATACACTTAAAAGTATTATTTTTCTTTTCCTCTTACTGATGAGACGATTTTGCCTTGGAATTTTTGACTAAATGTCATCACTTCATCTTGACTCAACAGCTTATAATCAAATAATTTTGGATATTTGTAGATATGTAATACTAGGATACCTTCTTGTTATTTCTGAGTGGTTAGCAGTATTAGATTGCATATTTTACTACTTACAGGATGGAATCTCTTAGACTGTCTAGCATTTATTAGCAAGACAACTTATGTGGTGATTACTCAGTCTTTAAGAAATTCAACTATCTGGTTAAATACCTGCTTATTTGTGACTAGCTTTTCTTTTCTTTAATGAAATGTAATTCTAATTCAGAAAAGGTTAGTACAAACACAGTCACATTGTACAGAGTAGCTATAAAAGAAATGAGCATTTTTATTTCTACAAACAATTGACTAAATTCAATTGCAGCAACTTACATAAAATTAAATTGGTCAGTTAAAAAATTCTATGAAGTTGAATCTTTTCTGTGCAATTTTGGTTCATTTCTTTTTAAATTCTATTTTAAAAGCAAAAATGCATAAATTAAAAAGATGGATATATAATTGCTGAAGAGTGTTCAGTGTGTCTAGAATATATTTTAAAGCTTGTGTATGCATTAAAATTTTATTTTTAGTCTCCCTCACACACACACACACACACACACACACACACACACATATATATATACTTTTTTTTTTTTTTTTTTTTCAACAATTGGGAAAATACAATAAGAAATTAAATAAGCTTTGTTGGTTGAATTTTAAAATTTTGGATGAATTATAACTACCTAAGTACGTCATTTTTATATATATATATATATATATAATAATCTTTTGTTGAATATGATGGACAAGGAAAGTTTTAATTATTTTTAATTTTTCCAGCGTTCTTAATTTTTTTTTTTTCTTTGGTGCGATGAGCTAGTACAAAAACTGTCTATATTGTCAATTGTCCCAAACACTTTCAGCCACTTCTTTAGCATTTTTCAAAGGGGTTGATATTGGTGTAGCTAGTTTATTTTCATATTTTGACTGTGTGAATGTATTGTTTGTGATTCACACAGTCAAAACATGAAAATAAACTAACTACAACAAAATCAACCCCTTTGAAAATGGCTAAAGAAGTTGCTGAAAGCACTTTGGAGCACAAGCGATGATATAGACAGATTTTGTACTCGCTCAATTCCCTCAAATGAAAGAATGTTGAAAAAACTAAATAAAAAAAAAATAAAAAAAATAAATGAATAAAATTTTCTTTGTCATATTTAATGAAAAATGTTTAAAAGAAAGGTTACTATCCAGCCAAATAGCAATTTTTTTTTTTTTTTTTTGCAGGTATTGTTGAATGAAACAGACAATGAAAAATAGTTGTTTCTAAATAACTTTTCTTGGTTTCAAACCAAATACTTTACAATTCAGTTATGGACTTTTTTTTTTTTCTCACAGTTTTCTATCTTATATAAAGCATTTGATCCCAAACCAAGTTAATAATGAAAAATGTAATATATTTACTGTTATAAAAATTCTAAAAATCTGAAATAGTATTTGATTTTTCTCTAGCCTATATTTCTTTTACTGGTTAAATTGTAGTAAAAAAAATTATTCTTTCAGTGTGTTTGTTTTTTGTCTTGCCACTCTCCCTCCCACCGAAAAGAAGGAATGCATATGTTATATTCTGGATTACTATTTTTTTCATTTTTATTTATTTTTTAATTACTAAAATCTGGAAAAATAGTATGTTTAAGAAAACTAAATTTATATCTGATTTTTGTTGGAGTATTTAATGTTTAAATACCACCATTCTTAAATAATTAAAAATTAGTTTTTGTTGTGTTTTTTGGGGTTGTTTTTTTTTTTGTTTGTTTTTTTTTTTAAGTTAAATGGCTTAATTATTCACATGTTAGAATTAACTTTTCTTAAAGTACAAAAACTTAAATGGTTTATTTCATACAAACCAATTTCATTCGTGTGTTTTTAGATTTTGTCATGAATTACATTGCTAATATTTGTTTCTGGGTATTTTGATAGCTTAAGATTTAAAAAGAAAAAAAAATCATCAATTTGCTCCAATACATTAGCTGTTAATGCAACTAAGTAATTTGAAATGTCAAACAATAATCATTTGCATTCTGCTTAATAATAAAAAAAAATGGCTTAAAAATTCTTTTCAATGAAAAGTATTATATACAGAATAAAAAAAAAAAGAAAAGTAAATTACAAAATGACTTTCACATGACAGCTGAGAACTTTAGTTTTTTTTCTATTTTTGGAATGTTGGAACTACACAAAGCATTCCCCAACCTACAAAGGCCTAGACAATTGTTATGGTGGATGGCTGTGCTTTTTAGTTGTAAATACCAAGCTGATTATCTATTGAGAGTTGGTTGGATAGAGGATCAGAGGAAGGCCAACAAAGTCAGCACTTAACTAGCATGTGGCTATAATAATAGTGGCATTGTCTACAGTTGTTTAGTAGGCTGAATCTAGTTAATACCCATGAATATTTGTATACAGCTAAATGAAGCTAGTAGCAAAGTACTTGGGTAGAGGCTGTTCAATAAATGGGACTCTCTTCAATCAAATGCATGCCTGAAGCCTGTATGGATGAATGAATTACATCTAAATAAATATTTAAAATAGGTGAATTTATAGTTATTGATTATTTTTTTTAATTTTTTTATTTTTTTTTATTTTTTTATTTTTTTTTTGAAAATAAAAAGGAACTAAACACAACTTAAGTTTTGGTACCAAAAAAAATGTTTTATTTATGAAAAAAGTTTAAAAAGAAAAAACAAATTCAGAATCTAGTGAAATAGAAATGTTTCAAACAGTAACTGAAGCAAAGGTTGCATTGAAGAATAGGTTTCAAAACCTTGACAAATTCATAATCAAACATTTCCAGACTTATTCAATTATTCCACCTACAACTCTTGCTACATTGTGTCAACAGGTGCAAGCAGCATGAAATAATGTTAGGATTTGTATGAGCCGATGCAGGTGAATGTACAAGTCAGTGTTAATATCCAAGGAGGCTATGCAGTGTATTAATATGGAGTACAGTTTTGATATCTCTTATTTTGGAACCTGTACGTGTATTGATCTCTATATATGATGTCTATATGAGATCATTTACTTTTATCTAGCAATATTATTTGTATGTATAATTTTGAGCAAATTAAAAAGTACACATTCAGAATGATGAAATTCTATTTTTCATTTGTGTGTGTATATATATATAATATATATATATATATATATATAACATTTTTATATATATAACAATATAACATTTTTATATATATAACAATATAACATTTTATATATATATATATATATATAACAATATAACATTTTTATATATATATATATAACAATATAACATTTTTATATATATGAAGAACAGTTTTGAAAGAAAAGATCTATAACAAATCAGAAAGTTTTGGTGACTCGTTTCATCCCTTATGACTTTGTCAGACTGGGTTTATTGATGTTATTGTTTAATGTATATACGCATGAACCAGGAGTATTTTGAGGAGCATGGAACCACCTCAACTACTGCTGTTCCCAGGTCCACCCTGACCTGAGTGGTAGCATCTGTTACTGTCCCAGCTATAGGCAAATAGTTAACTCCAAAACTGGTGTCAAAACACTATGAAATTATAAAGATAGGTTTTTATAGTGAAAATACCAGCAATACATTTTTGAATATAAAAGAAATAAATCAATGAAACCAAACTCTTAACAAAAATCCTCTTTACAAAAATACGTCAATAAAACCTCATCTACAAACTGATATCTTACAAAGAATACATGTTCTATTCATACAAATCTATTGAAAGAGTCCTGTCAGCATTAAATAACCCATTGAAGTTGATATGCTGTAAACCAAACCAAGATTTAGATATGTGCATGCAAGTCAGCTTATTAAAAAAATCTAAATTACTTTTGTAGTTTGATAACCACTTTGAATTTTTAAAGATTGCTACGATCTGATATAGCAAATTTTAGATAAGTATTTTGTTGAATTTTCATGAGGTTACTTCCATCTGTCATGTTTTGATGTCTAGTGCCTATATATAGTCTCATCTTAATGACCAGTTCTCCAGTAGCATTGGTCAAATCAATTGTGATTAACCTACTGTTTGTTCATGTTACAAATCAATGGCTGTCATTCTCTTGGAAGTCTACTTATTCCATCCCGGGTATGATGATAAACTACATCTGGCAGCAAGGCCACTGATTGGGAGAAGTGTGCAACCACCTCTTAAGTGGTGTTGTTCCCAGGGCCACTTGTTAGTCCCAGCTATGGGAAAATAGTACCCCCCCCCAGCCATAAAAAAAAATGAACACTATGAAAGTATAAAAATACTTTATAGTAAAAAGACCAACAATACATTTTTATATAAAAAGGAGTATGGAACCACCTCTTAATTGCTGCTGTTCCCAGGTCCAGCCTCACCCAGGGTGATAGCACTTGTTAGGATCCTGTCTATGGGCAAAAGGTAATGGTAAAAAAAAAAAAAAAAAATTTCAGCAACAGATTTTAATAGTAAAAAAAAAATTCCAACAATAGATTTTAATAGTAACCCCCCCAAAAAAAAGCAGCAATGATTTTAATAGTAAAAAATAAGAAAATTACCAAATTTTCAAGAATTTTAAATTCCGGCATTAAAAGACCCATAAAGATTTGATATTCTGTTAAACAGACTAATTATTGGTGAAAGTTTTAAATCTGCCAAAAATCTCGAGATTATTTATCACTGGTAAAAGATTTTACTATAGATGTTTCAAGTGTTGTTTTTATTTCATTCAACTAATTTTAATCATTATTTACCAAATAGTGTGTGTTATGTTTTTATTCCTTGTAGCTTGGTGATAAGTATATTGGAATTCCAAAAAGCATTCCTCAGTGTTTTCTTGGTAGATAGGAAAGACATCAAATCTTTATAATTATCTTCTCTCACACTTCTCACTTGTGGAACTTTCCTCTGATTTTGTATTTTCCTGTTGACTATAATCTTGAAAAATTGAATTAAAAGCCATTGTCAAAATGCAAGTTAAATAATACAACTGTCCAAAAACAGAATTAATAAAGTTTGCAATAAAAAAAAAAAAAAAAAAAAATCACAAAAATGAAATAGTATCAGTCAAGCAAGTAAACATATATGCAAAGCAAATCAACCAGTAAAAAGGCAAGAGTTCAAAAACTATGAGTTGGTGTTTGCACACAAAAGCAAGGTCAAACAAGCGAATGCAATGGGTCTGCCTAGTAGATAAGGTGGACATAGGCTTGTGAAAAAATTCCCTGTAGACCTCGCATACATGGGGTCGAACTTGTCTACCTCCCTAGATGTGACTTTGTCATTTCGCATAGTCTTGTCTGGGTTCCTCTCTGCCCAAAGGCAGAAAGTTCAACAAATCAGCCCATACCATCATGACTCAGTGCAGATCTGCCATTTCAGGTGCAAATCGTTCCATTTCATTGGCCAAGAAAAATATCCCAGCATGCATTTTGCGAACTTTTTGCCTATAAAAGGGAAGTGGGGGAAGTTTTGCAGTCATTCCCTTATGTGAAATCAACTACGATCTTGAAAAATTTAAATGCAACATCAGTCATCACTTGCTGGTCTTTTAATATTCTCTCTCTCTTCAACATGTTCTCAATAAACACTTGCATCTTACTGGCTTTATTGGCTTGCTTAGAATGAAATGATTAAAAAATAAAAATGATAAAAATTGACTTTCATAATGAGGTCAGCAAAAAAAAAATCCAGTTTTTAGTTTGTTTTGATAAGGTTACCAAATGGAAGGAAATATTTAACAAATGTTTTAACGAGGCCATGATTTTTCCTCTCATTAAAATGTATTACTGTGATTGTGTAAATGCCAGTTGCAAAAGTACTTGTGAAAGGAGAAAAAAGAATGGTAGGGAGTGGATTGGAATTAAAGAACCATAACAGTTTACTGCTCTCAACTTTGATATTAGTCCTTTGCTTCTTACTCTGGAACAGGCAAATTTAAAATATTTCCTATCTCTACTTTTCCTGCTATCAGTCACCCCAGACCCTGCTAACTATGTCACTTCATTCTTCCTTCCTTGTTCAAAGGGATTAAATTGAGGACCCAGCACTTCCTGACCCTTATTTCTAAATTACAAAGAACTCTATCTCTGTGTGACCTACTATTACTTTGATTCCATGGAAGCTTGGCTGATCAGTGAATCATGGAGCTCTGGTAATGGTTCAGAACTTTTAAGTTAACCCTCCTTTATAGATAGGAAATTCCTGGTTATAATGGATTTGGGGGAGAAATTGTTTTCACCTTTATCTATTTTATCATTACATCATCT